TATTAGTTTAATGTCCAAAATTATATGAAAGTTAAATGAAAACTCACCATTAAGGAAATCCTTGTAGATCTTCATTTTCACACGATAGGTTTTGAAGTGATGTCTAGGTTAACTATCATAAATAGATTAAAACAAAGTCTATTGTCTATAAAATTTCGTGTTTCAGAAAGAGCATTAGAGTTGCTCTAAATTAATTCAAATGCATTATTTTATTTTATAACCATTGGATTTATACTTTCGTAAATAGACATATATATAAATTTATTGCTTTATATGAACTGTTTTTTACTTGAATGAAAATAGTAATAAAATATAAAGGGTATTTTTTCCACGTTATTTTTTGAATTTGTATAGATTTTCGATACATAACGGTTAGTGATAGGCTCAAATTCTGAAGAGGTAGGCAATCAACCGTTATTTTATTTAATAACCATTGGATTTATACTTTCGTAAATAGACATATATATAAATTTATTGCTTTATGTGAACTGTTTTTTACTTGAATGAAAATAGTAATAAAATATAAGGGGTATTTTTCCACGTTATTTTTTGAAGTTTTATAGATTTTCGATACATAACGGTTAGTGATAAGCTCAAATTCTGAAGAGGTAGGCAATCAACCGTTACTAAAATAGCCCAAAAATGTGACCAGAGGTGCTTTGTAGAGCTCCACTGATGAAAAATCCCACTCACAGAGATGGCAAAGCAAATGATACGATCTCACTACAAAAAAAACTGTGGCACTAATTAGTCGAATAGATGGTAACCACTCACAACCGTATTGCTCTGAATGCATACAACTTAAAGCTCCTAAAACTATATGAAGCTAGATATTACCATGTCAACCTTCTTTTCTTCTATTTCATCACAATTGAACTCAGAGGCCCCTTAGCATTGAATGCTTTCCGATAACAATTGTCATTAAAATAAAAAATGAAATAAACGGAGTCAATCCATAGAAAGATATTTGTAGCACAGTAAATGATGGAATGAAATCATTCTGTACAAACAGCAAGGAAAAGAAGCTAACAAACAAGCATACAATTGAAATATATTGTTTATTGGCCAGGCGAGTAAGCAAAAGCGAAATGCTGTTGAGTACCGAAGGAAGTCTTGTCAACGGAGAACTCATACGTCTGGACAACCCTCTTTTGGCCTTGTGCTTGTTTACTTTCCGCTTCCAGTTGGATTAGGTAAGTGCCTCTAAAATAAAAGTTTATTGCCAATTATTCGCTCCTGATTCGACGACAAAGATCATGAAACAAAGAGCGACTTACCCGATGAGTTTTTCTACATCACTTCCAAGGAGAGAGAAGAAAAGAGAAGAGGCGAAAGAATGACGGATTAGTGGGTTTTGGGGTTGACCGGTTGAGCGAACCACAAGGCTTAGTTCAGAAAGATACTTGCTGTCGGTAGCAACAGTTGCCGAAACCTGAAAAATGGGGGTAGATGACATTAAAATTTCTGGAATAGTTTGGAGATAGTGCATTTGCAATCAGGTGAGCTTATCTAAAAATACCATTAAATGGACTGTGACATTTAAAAAATCAGCTCCGAAAAAATCCAACCTTATTTCACTTTGTGCATTCAATTTAATATTTTGCCACTATCATGAGAACCCATAAATCTCCATTTATTAAGAAATCAATCAAAATGTATAAGCATTTGCACACTAATGTTTGGATGAAAGTGCAGAACAAACATGGTACTTACCATACCCATGGAGACACGAGGTTTAAGGAAGAAGCGAATATTATGAACATC